AAGTTGAGCAATTAAAAAAAACATTTAAAGCAATCCATACCAACTCTATAATACCCGTCTTTACATTGATAACACCCGCCCGTAATTTGTGATATTTTGTCACACTTTCCCAACAAGTCGGTGTTCGGCAAACATTCGTGATTATTTCCCATATAAAAACCAAATATACAAGATAAACATCGTGTATCGTTTTCAATGCAACTTGTGCAATTCTCTGAAAATGAATAACAAATTTTACGTGCCAGATAATAACCTACTTCACATGAAATACACACAGATTTTAAATATAAAGCACAACCAATCATTGACACTGTGTTGTTAATTACATTTACACAAGTTTTGTTTTCATTAAAAATATAGTCGTTTTCACATTCAACACATTTATTCTTTACAATGTACATACATTTGTCTATCATTAAAGTACAAATCCCATTTTGTTCGTTGAATGTCTCGTTTTTACAAACTGATGAAATGCATTTTCTCTCTTTAGAAAGAATATAATTCATTTCACAAAAAGTTGCATTTCTTTTATCACACATTATTGAATGTTCAAATTCTAAAGAACAATTGTTACAAACACCATCGTTGATGTAAAACTCATCATTACACCAAACGGTTGAAATTCCATTTGAATCCCCTACTATTTCTTCAACACATGCACTTCTATTATTCAAAACAAATTTGTTATTGCAAATAATACATTTTTCGTTATTACAAATAAAACAGTTTGATATACAATTTTGACATTTGTCGTATAAATTACCACTGAGACAACTAATGCAATTACTCCCGTCACTGTGTCGACATCTGTCGTTAAAAACACATACATTGTCGTGTCTGATGTAATTGTCTTGACATTTGTAACAATTTGTTGAAGTGCCACGCAAACAAAGTCCAGAAGATAAACATTCGTGCCTTTCATTTAAAACAAACCCAATTTTACACAATACACAAATGTTGTTTTTGTTGTGTATCTCACAATTGTTATCAACAGGAAGACAAGCACCGTCAACAAGTCGATATTTATCATGACATACTACACATATTATTTTACTTTGAATTACTTCAACGAGATAACAATTGCTTAGAACCTTGTTGTTGCTTGAATTTTCCAAAAGTACAAAACTCTTTCCATTTTCACTAAAATCAATTTGATTTATTTGATTTATAATTACATTCTTTGAAATTTTAACGTCTGTGTTTTCATATAAACCAAGTGATTTAATATTTCCAGTGCAGTCAATGTTTAATTTGGTTGCATTTCTGTTGATCACAATATTGTAAATTAAGTTATTTTGGCATGTCAGCATTTTCAACAAAGTTGAATAAAAGAAAATCCCATTTATAAATATAGATTGATCGAGTGTAACATTTCCAAAAGAAAATAATAACGCCATACCATAAGATTGTGTTGAAATTGACAACTTTACATCATCCAAAATTATGACTTGTTTTACATTTTTTAAGTTACTTATTGTAATATTTCTTTCAACTAACAATTCGGTATTTTTTAGTGTATTACTGAGCATATTGAATTCGCCAACTTCATTTGTAAATTTAAGTTTACAATTCACATCAACATCATCATTACAAGGACAATGTGGATAATCAAAAGCACCCTCCATGTTAGTTGGTGAATTTGGTGTATAATATATTTTTTTAAAGTGCAAATAACATCTTTGTTAAGTAGGATATTATTTGGGCAAAATCTCAACAACTTTTTGTTTGATATCAAATAGCCCTTACCATCTGTAAAATTGTATGAATAGTTAAACATGTAAGAGTGGATATGATTTAAATCAGATGATGTGTCAATATTTGACTTGTTATTAAGCGATATTGTGTCGAAACATTTTGAATTACCTGTTGGATTAAGAATATCACAATTCGGTTTATATGTGTAATTATAATGGAGATGTAGATAAGTTGAGTTCCACATTATAATTTGTGGATTATTCAATTCAGGATTAATTAATTTCAGATTTCCAGCAATTGACATTCTCCCGAACGTAGAATTTTGAAAAACAAGTATATTTGCTTTCGATTAAATAACTAATGTTATGTTCACATAAAATTTGTAATACAAACCAAATGAGAATTTAAAACAATTGAAAGAATTTTGGTGTTTTGCCAATATATTTTCATATGAATACAAAATGACATTTTAAGGAATGACAATTTCGTTATATAAATACAAAGAAGATTCAAATTTAAAGTCCAAAAAAGCATAAGGAAGCCGCTGTGACATTACAATTCGAATGTATAAAACCATCAACATCGCTCACCCCTGCCGGAGAGCAATTACATGAATATCCATTCATTGTATTAATGATCACAATGAATGATATCTTCCACAATTTTTAAAAAATTAATTTTAAAAGATTTTCGTTTTTTTTGAAAGTTATAATATCAAACTTTTTGATTATATATTTTGTTTGTCGATTTTCAAATTGAAATTAATAAAAACAAATAAAAAAATATTTGATTATATATTTTAAGTCAAACATTTTAAAGTTATTTTTGTATGTTATATATTTATTTTATTTTTTTTAATTATGATCTTTTTATTTGTTGCCAAAATCCAACTTTTTAAATCAAAAATATAAATATGAATATTATGATAACATACAATAATCAAATTTAAAGTCTTAAATGGTGATGATTATAATTTATATATCATTGATATATTATAATTATTATTCAATTATTATTATATCATAATGATTTTTTAATTATTTAATCAATTTATAATAAATTTATTTGTACCTTTTTAATGTTATTTTGAAACTATTATTGGATAATGGTAAATTTTTATATTTTATAAACTTAATAAAAATTAAAAAAGCCTATGTTCATAAAATCTGATAACATTTTACTTTTTCGTTCAGATTCGATCTCTTTTCGAATTTTTTCTTCATCTCCATTACATTTTATTATTCTTAGTATATCCTCTACAAATTTACGACAATTTGTACCATCTATATTTGATATAGCATACTTTATTTTTGCATTTTGCATTTTCTGCCCAATTTCTTTTAGATTACTACATACTAAATCGGTTGGTGTTGCAGTATAATTGTAACTTAAAAAATCTTTGTTGTTCAAATAGTTATCAGTTATATGGACACCATCGGGCATCATTTCTACAAGAGTGTAGCCATCTCCGATTGCTTGGTGGTAAGGAATCAAATTTAGATCATGGAATAAACCTAAGGACACAACACTAATTGCACCCATTTTAGTTTTATCCCAAATTGTTTCTTCTTTTTTAGTAGTTGAGCTTGTGGCAACACTTCTTAATGCTTCTGTTGGTCTTGAATACACTATAATACGTCTGAGTCTGACTTTTTTCTCTTTTATTTCCTCTTTTTCTTTTCTGGGTTTTGTTTCTTTGTTGATTTTGTCTTTTAAAGGAATTTCTATCGTTCTGGTATGACTATCACTATGATAACATTTATTGTTTGATTCTTTTTCCATTTTGTTGAAATAAATTTAAAAAAATGGTATTTAAATAGTCTTGAATAAA